TTTTGACACGGAGTTTCACTCTTGTTGCCCAGGCTGGAGTGCAATGGTGTGATCTCAGCTCACCGCAACCTCTGCCTCCAGGGTTGAAGTGATTCTCCTGCCTCAGCCTCCCAAGTAGCTGGGATTACAGGCATGCGCCACCATGCCTGGCTAATTTTGTAGTTTTAGCAGAGACAGGGTTTCTCCATGTTGGCCAGGCTGGTCTCTAATTCCCGACCTCAGGTGATCCGCCCACCTCAGCCTCCCAAAGTGCTGGGATTACAGGTGTGAGCCACCATGCCTGGCCATCCCAGGATAATTTTTTATGCAGCAATAGATAACTAACACAAGCCCATGGAGTCTCTTCAACTTTACTCTCAGCAGCTCCTAGCATCCCAGGTGCATCCTTCACATCCTTTGTTGGTGTCTCTTAACTGTTGAGGTTTCCCAGGTCCCAGGCTTAGACCTTCTCGTCTCCCTACACTCACTCTGGATTATAAAACCACTCCCAAGGCAATCTACAGCTGCAGTCCAAACTCCTCATCAAGTCCCACACATGGATATTCAACAGCTTCCTGGATATGTCCCCTCGGCCCACATTCAGCACAGCCCAAAACAAACTCATCTTATTCCCCCTTATTGTTGGTCTTCCTGTGCGTTCCCATCTCAGCTATCATTCCCCTAGCTAAACCAGGATCCTGGTGTCATCCTGCATGCCTCTTTTGCTGTACTCAATCACCAACACCAATAGACCCCACCTCCTGGCTGGGCACGGTGGTTCACGCCTGTAATCCCAGCACTTTGGGAGGCCAAGGCAGGCAGCTCCACTTGTCAGGAGTTGGAGATCAGCCTAGCTAACAATGGTGAATTCCCATCTCTACCAAAAATACAAAAATTAACCGGGCATTATGGCGTGCATCTATAATCCCAGCTACTCAGGAGGCTAAGGCATGAGAATCATTTTGGGAGGCGGAGGTTGCAGTGAGCAGAGATCGCGCCACTGCACTCCAGCCTGGGTGACACAGTGAGACTCTGTCTCAAAAAGAAAAAAAAAAAGAAAGAAAAAGAAAAAGAAAAAAGATCCCACCTCCTAAACATCTTGTATTTCCAGTTCTCTCCATCACTCCTGCCCCTACCCTGGGTCCCATGCAGAGATGCTTATTCACTGCACAAAGTGCCTGGCTAAGAGGGCTGCCATTCAGCCCTGCCTCTGCTCACTAAGGCTGCCTGTAACTAGACAAGAACCACAACAAGCTCCTCATTTGCTGCCTTCAACCTCGTTCAATCCACTTCCACGTGGTAGCAGCCGGAGGGATTCTAAAACACACACCGGTTCACGTCTCACCCTGCTCAAAATGCTTCCATGGTCTTCCATTGCCTTCAGAATACAGAATAGTCAAACTCTCTAGAAAAACATCTAGCTCTTTTTTGATCCGGATTTTCTCTCCCTCAAGTCTTGTCCATTGCCCGGCATCATAAGCTCCTAGCCTTAGTTCTTAGGCAGGGGCTTGCACATCCGGGCCGTGCCATGCCCTCTGCAGCTTTGCACATGGCATCCTTCTATCTGTAACATTCTCCCTGCGTCTTCGCTCCCCTGGGCAAGGATAACTCCTACTAAAGCCTCAGATGTGACCTCCTACAAAAATCCCAGAGTTGTCCAGCTGCTTGAAGCATTGAGCCTTTGAGCTTTGGGAGAAGTTAAAACATTCTGCTCCTAAGACAGTAAGAAGGCGTCAGAAAACCAGGCTCTGGACCTCTGTTGCCTTGTCAGTAAAATGGCCCTGGTGTGACCGAGGTCACGTAGCCAGCAAGTGTCGTCGGGGGGCCCTGGAAGCACAGCTCCTACCTCCACGCCGGCTCCCACTCCAGCTCAGGAGAGCGCACGCGCACAGCGCCCCGCCGCCCACCTTCAGGCTCTGGGCGGGACCTCCGGGCGGTGTGGGCGGGACTCGACTCTTTGGCCCACCCCTCCGTGTCCCCGCTGCTCGCCAGTGGACGCCGACGTCATGACGTCGCGTTCCGTAGGGCCCTTCCCGGCTTTGGTGGGTCACGTGAGCTACTTTTCGCGCGAAACCTGGTTGTTGCTGGAGTGGCTGAGAGGATCGTGGTACTGCGATGGCGGTGAGCGAGCTGGCGCGGGGCGGGCGGGATGGCGCGGGCGCCGGGGTCATGGGTGCGGAGGCTGCGCGCTTCCCGTACTCTTGCCCCGGCCCGGGTCGGCGCTCTGGGTGAGGTGGGGCCCCAGGCTCTGGGGCGCAGCTGCTTTCTCGCCTGCACCCCGCGTGACGCTAGGCCACCTGGCGACTCGTCTCCCCACCACTGACCTGGGGCCCTGGGCTCCCTAAGCCGCGCCCGACCCGCTCAACCCCTGTCCTTTATTCACCGCACACGTGCTTATTGAGCGCCATCTGTATGTCTGGCGCTGAGTGTACAAAAGACAGGCCCCCATCTCACTGCACTTCTTAAAACTTTTTTTTTTTTCAATTTCCCGATGATCCTTGTTCTGAACGCTACACTTACTTTCGTATTACCTTCTTGTCCCTTTGTCTTGTGTACTGTCTGTTCCACATCTGAGTTCCAGACCTCTTGTTTTGGTGGCTCTTCTATGCCATCTCTATCACAATACCTTGCACACTGTGTGTGCTGAAATAGCCCTAATGCTTAAGGGGGAGATAGTAGACAATAAACAGGTAAATAGGCAAATGACATAACCTCAGTGGTTTTTCATGGAGAAAGCACGGTGATGTGGGTGACCCGCTATTTGATTTGCCTCCTATTTGTTTGGAAGCCACTGGCTCGGATTGCCCAGCAGAGAGCATTCCAGCTGAGAGAACAGCAAGGGCAAAGATCTGGAGGCTGGAAGGGGATTGGTGTGTTGGAGGACAAGAGTCACAGGTGGAGAGAGAGGAGGGAAGAACCCTGATAGTAAAAAGGAAGCTGTATCATGCCTCACCAGCTTCTTAGGTTTCTGACAGCGGCACCTTCTCTTGCAGGAATCATCGGAGTCCTTCACCATGGCATCCAGCCCGGCCCAGCGTAGGCGAGGCAATGATCCTATCACCTCCAGCCCTGGCCGAAGCTCCCGGCGTACTGATGCCCTGACCTCCAGCCCTGGCCGTGACCTTCCACCCTTTGAGGATGAGTCTGAGGGGCTCCTAGGCACAGAGGGGCCCCTGGAAGAAGAAGAGGATGGAGAGGAGCTCATTGGAGATGGCATGGAAAGGTAATTTCAATCAATGCCCTGGACTCAGCAGACAATTTTGCAGAGAGCCCATTGTGTGTCTGGTGGCCTGGCTTTGGGAGCTGGGAACAAATGAATCTGATGGCATTCTTGCCTTTGAGCACAGGTTGATCCAGGGTTCTGGGGAGACAGGTTTACAGAGCCGTGACATAGGTTTCTTTAACTTACTGTATGTAACTTGGAAAGACTAGACCCTAAGGGTTGGATAAGCCTAACTCCATAAGCACCCCAGGTTATGCAGAGCTCTCTAATCTGGAGGACTGCAACTCAAAAAGACAGGAAGCAGGAAGCCCAGTGTTTCTTGGTAACTTTTCAAAGGAAAGGTGCATGGGGGAGGAGGGATCTGATAAATAAAGTTTTAGAGTCAATCAGCAACCGTTTATTATACGTAATGTGCACCATGCCCTTTGTTAGGAATGGTCTTGTTTATTAGTAAACATGTGTTGGCCGGGCATGGTGGCTCACACCTGTAATCCCAGCATTTTGGGAGGCCGAGGTCGGCGGATCACCTGAAGTCAGGAGTTTGAAACCAGCCTGATCAACATGGTTAAACCCCGTCTCTACTAAAAATACAAAAAATTAGCCAGGCGTGGTGGTGCATGCCTGTAGTCCCAGCTATTCAGGAGGCTGAGGCAGGAGAATGGCTTGAACCCAGGAGGCGTAGGTTGCAGTGAGCCGAGATCACGCCACTGCACTCCAGCTTGGGCGACAAGAGTGAAACTCAATCTCAAAAATAAATAAATAAATACAGAAATAGGTTATCAAGACTTAATGCTAGGAGAGTGGAGTAAGCTCTGCGCATGAGCAAGGCTAGATTTCTACTCCTGCCTTACTCTGCGTTTCCAGCTGGGATCTGGTAGATATGTCAGTAGCGGAGTTGTGTGAATGCCCAGGAGCCTTGTGGAGATGCTCCTTTTGTGCCTTTCCAGCCTTAGCGTGTGTAAGAGTACTGTGCGGGGCGTCCTGCCATCCCTAGGATGTCAGACAACTGAGGGGCTTTCAAGGGCACTCCAGACTGGATGGATCTTTGCTGTTACCAGTACCACCCCCAACGATGAGACTGCACATGCTGTAGACTGTAGAAGGAATGAGGAGTCTTTGGATAAATCCGCCCTGGACTTGGGGTCAGGGCATGGGGCCTGGACGGCTTCCCCATTCTGCTCAGTGGAGTTGTTCAGGCCGGATGCTCCTCCTCCGCTGTGTCCTCTCCCTGTCTTGACCCTTTCTCTTTGCTTCTCTTTTCCTTCAGAGAGTGAGAGGCCCTTGGCAGGGGGCTTCTGGGTAGAGGCAGCTGAGGGATAGCTGAGCCCAATTACATTTGTTTTTGTGGTTTTTCAAAAAAATTTTTATTGGGCTATAGTTTTTTAGAGTTTGCCCCTTGCAAAAATACAATTCAATGCAAATTCAGTGTAAATTTCCTGAATTATGCAGGCTTCACCACAATCCGGTGTAAGAACAGGGCCATTGTCCCATTGATGTCCCTCCTGCCTGCTTATAGTTCATTCTCAGTTCTTACCCAACCCACGGGCAACTGAGAATCCACTTACTGTCTCTAGATTTTCCAATCTGGTAATTTCATATAAATTGAATCATATTATATATGCCCTTTTGTGATGAGCTTTTTTCACTTAGTGTGGTTTTAAGGTCTTTCTGTGTTGTTGCATGTGCAGCACTCCATTCCTTTTTGTGGCTGAATCATATTTCTTTGTGTGGAGATAACACATCCATTCATCAGTTGATGGACGTTGGGTTCCTCAAGCCTTTTGGCGATTATGAATAATGTTGCCATGAACATTCATTACAGGTGTTTTTTTTTGTTTTGTGTGTGTGTGTTTTTGTTTTTGTTTTTGTTTTTTCTGAGTTTTGCTCTGTCGCCTAGGCTGGAGTGTACTGCCACAATCTCAGCTCACTGCAACCTCCGCCTCGCAGGTTCAAGCAATTCTCCTGCCTAAGCCTCCTGAGTAGCTGGGATCACAGGCATTTGCCACCACACCCGGCTAATTTTTGTATTTTTAGTAGAGACGTGGTTTTGGTTTTGCCATGTTGGCCAGGCTGGTCTTGAACACCTGACCTCAGGTGATCCACCTGCTTCAGCCTCCCAAAGTGCTTGGATTACAGGTATGAGCCACCGCACCTGGCCTGTTACAGGTTTTTATGTGAACAGGTCTTTAATTCTGTTGGCTATGTAGGAGTGAGATTGTTGGTCTTGTGTTGAATCTTTTGAGGAACTGCCAGGCTGTTTTCAAAAGCAGCTGCACCATTTTGCATTCCCACCAGCAACACACAAGGGTTCCACTCTTCCATGTTCTTGCCAACACTGGTCTTTTTAATTCTGGCCATCCCTGCAGGTGTGAAGTGGCATCTCATCCCTGATGGCTAATGATGTTGAACATCTTTTCGTACGTTTGATTGCTATATGTGTATCTTCTTCAGAGAAATCCTGGACCCACTTTTTAATTGGGTTGCTTGGCTTTTTATGATTGAGTTGTAAGAGGTTTTTTACTTATTCTGAATATAAGTCCTCTATCAGACATGTAATTTGCAGTTATTTTCTCCTCAATCTGGCTTGTCTTTTTCATGTTTTTAATGTTTTCTTTTGAGGTGCAAAAATTGAAATTTGATGTCCAGTTTACCTTTTTTTTTTTTTTTTTTTTTTGGTATGAACCAATTAGAAGTTTGCTGAGGGCATTTTGTGTGACTTGAGATCCAAGGAGAATTGGACCGATACCTTTTCCCTGAGAACACGGAAGAAATCAGACCTGGTCAACTCTGATATCTGCCTGGCTAGGTTCTGTTTGGGGCATCAACAGCATAAAAAGATGTGTTCTGACAGTAGTTTGACAACATTTATTGCAAAAAATAGTAGCAGTTTCTCTTATCACCATTTAACTTGAAAAAAGGAGAATTCAAGGGGATTGTCTTGGGAAGGCGGTATAGCATGGGAGAAGGAGCTCTGGGCTTGGACTGTATTTTGACACCCAGGTCTGCAGAGCGACCATAGGCAAAAATCACATCTTCTCCTCAACTACCCATTTCCTCATCTTTCAGATGGAATGACGGTATCTCCCTCTTAGGAAAGAGAGCACTGCAGGGAAGTGCTTTGCACTCATTGGGTGCCTTATTAAGGCATTATTTCTCTTCAGTATCTGAAGGAAGATAATGTGGAAAATGTGTGTCTGATGATCTTGGAGTAGCTCAAAGGGTTGAGACAGTGGGTGGCCATTTCAGAGGGCTGGTTTGACTGACTGCGTAGAAGCCAGGACATCAGGTTGTTGAAGGCAGCATAGTCAGAGATGGGGAAAGTACAGGGAGAATTCCAGCCCTCACAGGGAGTTGGGTTAGCTCTCTGAAGCCTTTTGGTCTAATGTTTTGTGGTTCCTTGAATTCTTTTATCTTACTGGGTGCATAGAACCTCTCTGGAGATCTACCTCCCCTTTTGTAATTGTGGTAAAATACACATAACAAAATTTACCTTTTTTTTTTTTTTTTTTGAGACAGAGTCTTACTCTTGTTGCCAGGCTGGAGTGCAGTGGCTGTCTCTTATACACATCTTTGCCAGGCTGGAGTGCAGTGGTGCAATCTCGGCTCACTGCAACCTCCCACTCCCTGGTTCAAGT